TTGACCAATATCGGTTATATTTGTACGGAGTGTGTGTATTTTATATTTTGAAGAAAACTGGAGAAACTGCAGGAAACCCATCCAGAAGAGGGGAAGAACATACAAACACTACACAGAAATCTGCCCGAGTCCAGAATCAAACCCAGATTTTTTGTGCTACGAGTAACGACTATTAACCACTGGGCCATAATACAAACAAGAGTGTAAATGAAAAAAAAACATTCTTGAATAACATGACAACCCTCAATCAATCACCATATCGCAGTGGGGGTGAATGGACGTACGGCTATGACCGCGCGACTCGCTCGACGGTGGAGCCCACTCCAGGCTGGCGGACCGCGCCGCCCTGGAAGAGCGAATGGAAAACCCGGACAGTGCTCTCCGCTCGGCTTCAATTGCGCTTGGCCAGCTGTGAATTACGCTCGCTGTCCCAATGGGCTCTCAACCGATCTATGTGAAAAATAAACTCCATCGGTGGGACGCTGAGATTAAAACTTTGGTCATCATGAATAGTTAACCATCTATACTAATGCCAAGGTATTATTATTATTTCCACAGAATTGCATATTCAAATGTCTGAGAACACTGATGCTGCAGATCGAGGACTCCGCTGGCACGAGGGTGCAAGCTGCTATCAACGCGCTCCAATGGGACCATTAAATAAAGCTTGCACATAATCCAGAGAGAGCACTTCCATGTTGCATGTAAAAACCAGATATGCATGTGCACTCTCACCAAGCTGAATACAAACAGTTGACTGGCAGAGCAGAAGGCTGAATTATGGATTGGACTGGCCTTTTCATTCCATCTTGTTGTTGGCTAATTTCCTTGGCCCTCCTCACTTCTCTGGGCTCTGATGGCTGCCGTGCCCATTTTGTGCACGCCGAGCTGGGCGCTGGGCTGGGTGCTGGGTTCTAACCCGTCCCCTATGTCAAGCAAGTATCTTCGCCAGGCCGCAACCAGCCGTCTGGTGACATATGATCACACATCCCCCAACGTTAGTTGCAGCTTTAAACCCGGTGCTCAGCCACTTGTTATATCCCTGATTTTATCATCCATGGGTAAGAACGAAACCCCTTTGTGATTTTAACATTACCACATTGGATGTGACTTAATAGCATGGAGGGGAATAAAAGTGGATACAGACGACACAAGAAATGGAATAGCAGGTGCTGTTGGATGGGGCTGATTGTGAGATGGCCAGGAGATGGAAGCACAGCAAAGGATTCTTAAATCTGTCTGTGCGGAACGTTGAGGCTCACCCCCTCCTGGTCATGGTGGATTTTCTCTAGTTTCCTCCCACGAGAAGCCAATCACTCATTATTGGAATTGTTGAAACATTCCAATGTAGCAGGACCCTCCTGAAAAAGATGCATTAAGGACGTTATTACCATTATTTAAAAGTGCATAACCCAATGAGGCAATATCCCTGTTGCATTCAATGATTTTTTTCAATTATTTATCTATTTCGATTTAAAGCTTTCGTGACTGCAATGATTCATCTTCTTTGGTTCTTTCGGTAAAGTCACGTAGAATGAGAATAAAATAATAAATTGATAAAATAAAAGAACACAATAATATTCTCACGACGTTTCGGCCACAACACAAGCGGCCTTCATCAGGTGAAGGGGCGAGACTGTCTGGTAGGACAGCACTCCAGCGCTCCAGCGCTGTCCTACCAGACAGTCTCGCCCCTTCACCTGATGAAGGCCGCTTGTGTTGTGGCCGAAATGTCGTGAGAATATTATTGTGTTCTTTTATTTTATCAATTTATTATTTTATTCTCATTCTACGTGACTTTACCGAAAGAACCAAAGAAGATATTTATCTATTATTGGAAGGAGGCCTCATCATGTCACATAAGTCATGAGGATTTTTTGACTATACTTCACCGCGCCGGTTAGTGAAAGTTGCCCAGGGTGGTGATGCGGCAGAGGAAGCGCTTTCATCGCTTTTTGCAGAGGTTTGTGGTGTGAATCTGGAAGGCAGCCTGGTTAACACTACGGTGTATTTACAGTAAAATATTACTACACAGTCTGCTTCACAGTCGATGTTAAAGATCCTTTGACATCATTAGAAAAGAGTATTGGGTCTTTGTGCACCAGTGTCATCATCCAAATGTTTATAATATTAATTGCAACTTACTGAACAGTAATTACACACGTTAACATGTCAACAGTAATTACACACGGTAACATGTCACCAGCGATTACACACGGTAACATCTCAACAATTATTACACACGGTAACATCTCAACAGCGATTACACACGCTAACATCCCAACAGTGATTACAGACAGTAACATGTCAACAGCGATTACACACGGTAACATCTCAACAGCGATGACACACGGTAACATCTCAACAGTTATTACACACAGTGACATCTCAACAGCGATTACACACGGTAACATCTCAACAGTTAATTTTTTTTATTTAAAGCTTTCGTGACTGCAGAGATTCATATTCTTGGTTCTTTCGTGACTTTACCGAAAGAACCAAGAATATCTCAACAGTTATTACGCAACTATAACATCTCAACAGTGATTACACACGGTAACATCTCAACAGTGATTATACACGGTAACATCTCAACAGCGATTACACAACGATAACATCTCAACAGCGATTACACACGGTAACATCTCCCCCGACTGTGAAGCTACTGCAGACTAAGGTGACGTGCACACTGAGAGACGTACAGATTAAGTGCTGTATGGAGTTTTCCTTTGTCATAGCCTTGCGCTCTGAGAATGGCGGGAATACAAAAGAATGATTAACGTTACTATGATAGGATCACTGTCTAGATTTTTATATTATTCACACCTGTCAAACATTACTATAAATATCAACAGTCTCAAATAATAGTTGTTAATATCTGTATTATATCCGTTATATTTCTATTTAAAGCTCTCGTGACTGCAGGGATTCATCTTCTGGGTTCCTTTGGTAAAGTCACGTAGAATGGAGATAAAATAATACAAATAATAATAACAGAATAAAATTCTCACGACGTTTCGGCCACAACACAAGTAGCCTTCCTCAGGTGAAGAAGCAGGACTGTCCGGAAGACAGCGCTGTCCGTTATGTTAGAGGTCACATCATTATAAACGTGCGTATTTATCTGTACATTGATTTGATATCAACTCACGACAGCCACCACATTCAACAAAATAAATGAATACTTTCACGGAATTCAAAACAGAAGTAAACATTCTGAAGATGTTTCAAAGCTCAAAGGAACTGACGAGAAAGTCACAAACCTGGCACTGTACGCAGTCTGCAGAGCACTCTCAGCTAAAAGTGTGTGCTTCGAAAAATAACTTTTGAAAACTAATTTCTTCAGAACTATTTGTGTTTAGTTTGTTGTCCTTCCCCCATACCTCCGATTAGCATGGTTGGCTACGTACGGTGCGAAAGAAGTTCAAGATACATACATTCTGTACTGTACTTGTGAGGCACCAATGTTGAGGAGTCTGCTTCATCTCATCCGCCACAATGTGTAGCCACCACTACTATTACTGCAGGCCACAACAACACTCACCCAGTCACACACCCACTCACCCACCCTGTCTCACACTCACAAAACCACTCAAACACCGACTCAGACACTCACACATTCACCCACTCACTCGTCCACCCATTAACTCACCGCACTGCAAGTCACAACAACACTTCTCTTTCTGCGTCTTCCCTCACACAACTCCACTTTGGAATTCCCTCCGATCGTGTCTTTCTGAAGCCCATCTAATAACCTTGCTCAATTCAAGAAACCTGTTAACTCTCATCTATTGCAACTTTGATAGTGCTCTCTCGCCGGCCGCTTGGCATTTTAAGCCTTTGGGCCTACAGTCCACACCCTGATACCAGAGTACTTAAAATGCGATTGCTGTGAGCAATCTCTTTCCACCTCTCTAAAAAATAAACGTCTCAAGTTGAGGGTAGAGTGATTTTTTTGTACGAGCAATAACGCACGAGGTCGTTTTCCCAGCTGGGATCACGGGAGGTCTGCGGCACATCCGGGAGCTCGCTCACAGCTGCGGCCACTCGCACACAAAGACGAGGCTTCCCCGGATAGTCTACACACGTTGTAGGGGCAAGTGCTGTTAAGGAGCGACTACAAAGGCCACACCGCACTGCGGTCGCATGCGCACACCAACCGCCATTCGCCACTAAGTGGAGGTGACGTCACCACGACGCTTGTGCCAGGCTATGTGCACGTCGAGGCCACGTGAAGTGTCGAACGCCCGCTGGCAAGAAGTCACGTGGCAGACCCAGATGCCACAGGTCGATTGACCGAGACTGGTTGATGCACCACCTGTGCCCCCTACCGTGCCAACTTGCTGTGCTATAGAAAGCACGCACACCGGAGGACATCCATAAGCACCAATTGGAATATTAAACACACAGGTACGGGCACACATTAGCTCTTGATGAAAAATCAACCTTCCTCGGCAAAGTAATCATTAGAATGAGGCAGTGAGGGCGCTAAACCCCATCCAGAGGAACACCCGATTAGTGTAGGCAACAGGGTGGAGACGCAGTGTTCACACCTATGTCTCACAGCAAGACGAGTCTGTGCTCGATTCCGACTCGAGCATCGTTCTGTGGGGAGTTTGCATGCATGGGTTTTCCTTAAGCCTCTCTGGTTTATTCCCAAAGCGAAATAAAACAAAACGTAACCAGTATTGACCAAGCATCTCAATGAAATAAACACACAGAAGCAGCATCGCCTATTCCTGCGAAAACTGGGCAGAACCCTCCTGGCAAACTCGGGGCAAGCAGGTGCCAGAGTCGGGAATCGAACCCAGACTCGTCCTGCTCGTGAAGCTCGAGCGTGAGCAGCGTGCGGCCGCCCGTCCGTTCCCCTCGCCTGCATCGCTCCCCCCTCGCGCGCTGCTGTCTACTCCCCATCCCCTGCCGCCCCCACGAGACCCCCCCCTGCCACCACGTGACATCGCCGAGCCAGGGAGCGCCCGGATTGGCCGAGCTCTCGGTGTATTTAATCGGCGCAGCACGCGCTCTCGAGTGTGGAGCTCAGCGAGCATGCGTGCGCCACGTCGGGACGTCACACTGACACACACCCTGACACTGACACACATACCGCGGACACTCGTAGCCGAGGAGCCCGAGCCGCGAGCCTGCCCCTGCCGAGACATTAGAATGGCAGCGTAGACGGAAGATGTAACCCAACTACTCCTCTACGTTGATGTATGTGAATCTACGCAGAGGACAACGCAAGCGCATACTTTTCAATATAAGTGGCTTCAAGGTTGCTGAGAAAATACAACTTGAAGATTCTGGAAGAGACTTCAACTGAAGAACAGGAGAGATATATAGATTTCAATATCTATTAGAACGACCGTTAACTCAAACCGAGACCGTTTCAAAACTTCATTTTATTTGATGCCATTAGTGTCAAAGCGATAAGAGTTAAAATAACAATTTTCTTTATTATTTTACAAATAATCGTTTACTGGTAAAAATGAATCGCCTGTGAGGTTATAGATTCCGAATAAATGACATTCCAAATAGAAATAAAAAAACACTTAAACCCGAGGTAGGCATGCGACTCTCGCTCGGCGAGGATCTGCGCAGCAGTGCTCGTGCTACGGCCATCGCGCTCCGACCCTGACCGCGCGCGCCGTCGTCCACGCGAGGGGCCGCCGGACCGCTGCGCGCAACGCCGCCGGGCCGGCGCGATGGCCTACGCGGCTCTGCGGGCCTCGGGCGGCCTGCGCTATTTTGCGGAGCTCTCCGGGGACGAGAACGAGAGCGGCAGCGAGGACTCGGAGCGCTCGCTCCCCTACGGCGCCGGCGGCGGCGCCCCGAGCAAGCGGGCGCGCCACATCGCCGGTGAGCGCTCGCTCGGTGCGATCCCGCGGGGCGGCCACGCGGAGGGAGCCGCGACGGCAGCGGCGGTTGGTCAGCTCGCGCTACCGCTCGCGATCCCGAGGCGGCCGGCTCGCCGATCCCATCCCTCGGCGCGGCAGCTCAGTGGGGTACAGTTCTTACGTCGGTCGCGCTCGTTACGAACGTTGGAATCGGTTTCCGGAACCCGACGTTTAGAATCGGTGACCAGTTCGGAGAGCGGGTTAGCGGTTGAACAGCCTGACGTTAAGGCCGGTGTGGGTGCAGGGAGATATGCGTCGTTTGCGTGGGAGACTCGAGGCCAACGCATGAACGGCAACAATATTATATCTTACAAGAAGAGTTACATGCGCCACAGTACAAATAAATAAACCTTTATACCCGCACAATAAATAACAACTGCAATTTAAAGCAGTAAAATTGCATATTGCTTAAAAAAAGAACATTAAATACATTTGTTAATGTGAAAAGTTTTGTTTGTTAAAAGCACACGCAATGTACTGTACTTATGATTATAATGATGATAATGATTAATAACTTATAACTACAGTATACAAATCCATAAATAAACCAGGAGCGGGACGCAATGGCACATGACCATGAAGCCAGTGACCCGAATTTGATTCCCAGTAACGGCTAACATCAGTGGCGAGCAATACATGAACTTGTCCGGGCCTCTCAATTTCACCAACTCATATTGACCAGCAAGGTAACGTTTGGGTAAACAACCCCTATGACCCTATGAACCGAGACGATGTGGGGGATGCCTTCATCCGGCAATTGATAGACAAACGGCTGTAAATTATAAGTGAAAAACACGTGATTATGAAAATATAAAGGTTGCGCTGTCATGTCAGGGAATAAATTACAGGAACAGCGAAAGCCATCGTAACAAGGGCAAATAGACATTCACACAAAAAAACAAAGAAAATTCGTGTATGTGATAAGTAAGCATTCAGAATTAGGGAGGTTGTAACGCAGTCACACACATTGCAAGGGTACAGAGAGTTAGCCTACATTATAACCTTACAGCACCATCACCACGACAGCCACAATGGGGAGTTTCCCTACAATTAGTGGCAACGTACGTCATGGTGCAGTATTAAGTTCCGTATTCAGGGCAATGAAATAGGTACACTCACACACACGTAGACCAAGATCCCCCATATAGTCTTCAGACTGCTGTTGCCAGGGCTGATGCCGAGTACCTAATAAGGCCAACACGGAGCATTTTAGGCTGAGTCAACCAGGGGGAAACCCAGGACGAGCTCGTATATCACTTGCCAATGACAATAGCTGTGGCTGGGAAACAAAATCAGATCCCCACGTTCATAGCGTAGTGCTTGGACCAATGTGCCACCGGTTTCCACGATACACACACAGACAAAGATCCCCCCGTATAGCCTCCAATAGGCTGCTTGGGGAAAGTGTGGCCAGCACCATGCCCGGTCGCCTTTGTCTCCCCAGTTCTGATGTTTACACATCACACCAGGTGATTATTCGCGGCTGAGTTAACCTAGCGAAGACCCAGGACCAATTCAGGTATTCATCAACGATGTTAGCTGTGAGTGGTAATTGAATCAGTGGGCGGGTTCATAGCGAAGTGCGCTAACCACTACACCACCATTGTCAACACAATAAACACAAAGATCCCCTGCTCACGCCCAACAATAACACACATACATACATGCACACATACATACATGCACACACACAAGTTCACACAAAAACTCACGCACGTTCTAGTTTCACCCAAGCTAGCTCCATCATGTGGGACAAGGCAAAACTATTCCGAAATGTAAATCAAATGCAAAAAATACAATTGTTATGTTATGTAAAACATAATATAAATGGCAAGACCATGTTATATTTTGTATAATGTAAACAATAAATAACGTATAAAAGGTATTCAATGATTCATGATGCAGCAATCTGCAAGTCCCTGTCAATCTTGACTTAAAGTTTTCATGACTGCAGGAATTAATATTCTTTGGTGTCTTTCGGAAAGTCACGTAAGATAGGTTCAAAGAAAATAACAAAATAACAAAAAACTACGACGTTTCGATCTTGATGAGGACCGCTTGTGTTGCGATCGAAACGTCATAGTTTTTTGTTATTTTCTTTGAACCTATCTACGCGACTTTACCGAAAGACCCAAAGAATATAAAATCCCTGTAAGTCGTGGATGGCCCGCGGCTCGCGACTGCTCCCATAGTCCCGCAGCTCACGACTGCTACCGTAGTCCCGCAGCTCACGACTGCTACCGTAGTCCCGTGGCTCACGACTGCTACCGTAGTCCCGTGGCTCGTGACTGCTCCCATAGTCCCGTGGCTCGTGACTGCTACCGTAGTCCCGTGGCTCACGACTGCTCTCGTAGTCCCGTGGCTCACGACTGCTCCCATAGCCCCGTGGCTCACGACTTAACCCATAGTCCCGTGGCTCACGACTGCTCCCATAGTCCCGTAGCTCACGACTGCTCTCGTAGTCCCGTGGCTCACGACTGCTCCCGTAGTCCCGCGGCTCGTGACTGCTCCCGTAGTCCCGTGGCTCACGACTGCTACCGTAGTCCCGCGGCTCACGACTGCTCCCGTAGTCCCGCGGTTCGCGACTGCTACCGTAGTCCCGCGGCTCACAACTGCTCCCATAGTCCCGTGGCTCGTGACTGCTACCGTAGTCCCGTGGCTCGCGACTGCCACCGTAGTCCCGTGGCTCGCGACTGCTCCCGTAGTGCCGTGGCTCACGAATGCTCTCGTAGTCCCGTGGCTCACGACTGCTCCCATAGCCCCGTGGCTCACGACTGCTCCCATAGTCCCGTGGCTCACGACTGCTACCGTAGTCCCGTGGCTCACGACTGCTCTCGTAGTACCGCGGCTCACGACTGCTCTCGTAGTCCCGCGACTCTCCGCGGCTGACTGACGATGCTTGGCGGGGTGCGGACGACATCCGTAGATGCGAGCGGGGCCAGCACGGAGTTGTGGGAGCAGACTTTAATTTGTTTGATATTAATTTTGCTTTCAATTTTTTTTGTAGCTTTTATTTTTTTATGAATTTTGCATCAGCACAGATCAGCTGAAAAGACTTGGATATCAGGTGTAAAAAAATCTAAAACATCGATTTAACATCGAACCAGATGTGATGTTTCAACCATTTGGGTCTAAGATAATATCCTGACCGTGTAATTCAGGACTTTACCGCAGACGAATTCAGCAGCGACGTGCTGCACTTCCCCTGTAATCTGCAAACCTTTTGCCAATTAAAGGAATCGTGTGGCTAATTTCTCGGCGCACTGCGTTGGTGCAAAAGTTTATTTTGCAGACTTGACGTCTAACCTCCGCACAACGTCGCAGATCAAAGACTCTGGGTTGATACGATGGCAGGGGGGGATCATATCAACGCAGAGCAACGGAGTTCTCTTTTAGTGTGCCAACAAATGGTGTTGCTTAACGTGCTATTAATAAATTGCTATCAAAGTCGATTGTTCAGGACACCATGGCAAGTGACCCCGATGCCTGAGACTCAGCACTCGGAAATAATTATGGAAATAACTTTGCCATAAAGGGAGTGTAGGGAAAGCCATCCCTGAGCATCATCGGCAAATGCCTTTCGCCGAAGCCAATCGATTATGCTCGCGCACTCGTGGGCATTTTAACAACCTTAACGCCATTAAGGGTTCTTTGGGTTTCACCGCTCGCCACCCGTTTGGTGCTGTAACTCGTGCAAAACTGCAAGGCAGCTGCGGTCACACGTGTCTAAAATGCCAAGTCGCTCACGCAGACAACTCGACCGCACTCACTCATCGCCGGAGCCGAGGTTGTGGGGTAACAAGCGAACGTCCCATTGAAGCGCAGCAGAGCTTTGAGCACACTCCTCACCGGCAGCCTCTTCATCATAGTGACGCTCATCCACGAGATTTGGTATGGGTGCCATCGTTTGTATAGCACAGGGCGGTCGCCACGAAGGAGCTGCTTCTGTGTTTCACAGACACAGCCTCTGGTGGTTTCGGGCGAGGGGGCGATGTGGCCGTGTGTGATCCCAATTTGAGTATTTTTCAGGAAATGTTTAAATTTGGCACACCAAAAAAATGGGTTTCAGAAAAATAAACTGCAATGAAAGGCGGGGATATAAGCAGTTGATTATAAACAAATCAAACTGATCATCATGTACACATGGCTCTGGAGGATTCTGATCAGATGACCACTACCAGCAAATTACAATATACTTACCCCTCCTAGCCAGCATTCCAGATTCTGTACGATTGGGGTTTACAAATATGCGCCTGCTGGAGCGAAATATATCTCCTGAATAAGATGCAGTGGACTTGTATCCAAACATCCGGTCCTGGTTACAGAATAGTTGGCTACGTATGGTGTGAAAGAAGTTCAGCATACAATGTACACACTCATTCACGTTTCTGTTGCGATGGAGTTTCTCATCGCGTACAGATCATATCGTGCAAAGAGCTGAACAGTGTCCGTGCGGCCCCCCCGCCCTCCCCAGCAGACGCCTCTCTCTGCAGCGGCGGTGCCGCCGCGCCGGGCGAGACGCGCCAGCGGCAGGCGGCCAACGCCCGCGAGCGCGACCGCACGCACAGCGTCAACACGGCCTTCACCGCGCTGCGCACACTCATTCCCACCGAGCCGGCCGACCGCAAGCTCTCCAAGATCGAGACACTGCGCCTCGCGTCCAGCTACATCTCGCACCTCGGCAACGTTCTCCTGCTGGGCGAGCGGTGCCCCGACGGGCAGCCGTGCCACGCCCCCCCGCCGCCCCCCTTCTGCGGCGGGGCGCGCCACGCCGAGAGGGCGCAGCGGGCCGGGGGGGGCGGCGCCGCCGCCGCCGCCGCGTCCGCGACGCAAGCTCTGACCGGGGCTCTCTCGGCCGATCCCGGCGTGGCGGGGATGGCGGCAAGCGGAGGACCGGGCGGCCAGGCGGCGCCGCCAAAAGTCATCTGCACGTTCTGCCTCGGCAACCAGCGCCGTTTGGTGAGGAGCTGGCGGTGTTCGTATCCGCCAGACCCGCCGTGTCACAGGCAGCAAGAGCTGAGCTGGTGATGCACTGCTAGCCACAGGCGGCAAACCGCTTGTCATATTTAGAAATCGTTATGTAGCCAGAACAGACTTATCAACCAATTCACATTTGGGCGGCGGGGTGACAGCACAGTGGTAACACTCGTGCCTCAAAGCAAGAAGCACTTGGGTTCGATTTCCGACTGTGGTGCTCTTTCTGTGGAGTTTGTATGTTCTCCCCCAGTTCTGCATGCGGTTCCTCTTGATTCGTCAGTTTCCTCCCATAGATAAAAAATGCAATGTAACTGCTAGTGGGGGGCGATTGCTTGTTCTGTGGAATCCCAATTGAATAATTTGTGGCTAATTGGCAAACTTGGACTAGGATGACAGCACACAATGGGCTACTCTTTTAAAATTATGTTGGGGGATCTTTAAACCTCCACTGTGAAGCAGATGGCGGTGAATTTCATGATTATTACATGCAGAGTAACAACCAGCGGGGCCACATCACTGCTCGATAACTGAGACTGTGAGGCTCCTGGTTTGGTTGGATCAAGATTTGATACCTAAACCCAGGATATTTCCACAGTCCTGGCTTGGTGGTCAATGTGACATGGAAACAGCATTCATGGCTTAAGATTTCGTAGTCAGAGCTGAAAAAAAGAAATCTCACTCTGCTCTCTCTCCCTTTCACAGGGCCGAGAGAGAGAACGCAAATCTGCCATGCGTTGCTGACCAGCGGACACGAAACCTCGGCAAGAATTATGAGGAGGCCCGAGAAGGTTTCTGTACCGGCTTTCCTGGAACATTTTGTAAACTTTACAAAACCAATGCCAAGCCCTTCCCTGAACATGGCACCCAACTTTGGCACAGCGGGACTTTGCCAGAGATCGGCAAAACAGTTTGCGTGGCTGGACTGTGGGCAGTGGCGCACAAGAGGAAGGATGCCTGCACACAAACCGGAGCTATGGATGCCTCTCAAGGAGTGAGGCTGCCCAAGAACCTTCACAGATTCTCTCAACAAAATAACCAAAGACTCGTGTTCCACTCATTATGGACACCTGTTCCTGTCGTATGTTTAAAACAAATATTTTTTTACATTTCAAGCTTTGTGCCTGGCAAGAAAATATAGAAAGGCAACTTCTTAAATCTAGGAAAATCGTATTTTTGTAATAAATGATCACAAGTGACCCCATATTTACAGATGAACTAAACGTTTCGTGATTCTGATTATTATTTAACCCTTGTTTTACCGAACAGCTCACCCACACACTGTCCTCTCCTCAGTCGGTGGATGAGATCGCCTCGCTTAGCCGCCGTGAACAACTTTTCACAAGAGAATCTCAGGGAGCGATATCCACATGAGAACTATTAAGAATGATCACCATAACCCACACACCAGCGCATGGCAGGGCAGACATAGTACATGGTTTTTGGGTGACTATTGCAGGAGTGCGTGGACAGCCAATGGTGGCAGTACAGTGGAAATACTCGTGCCTTGCAACAAGAAAATCCTGTGTTCGATTCCTGCCTCAGACAGATTTCTGTGTGGGGTTTGTATGTTCCCTCCACCTGTTCGGCATGGGTTTCCTCCAGGTTCTCCGGTTCCCCCCCAGAGCTAAAACATAACCCCGATTATACCAAATAATGCTGCACTACCAAACAACACACGAAATGAGTGGCAGGGTGAGGGCTTAAGCACAGCTTCAGATGCTGTGTTACAGATTCAGACTGTACACTACAGCACTGCAATTTGCAAGCTGCCTAAAAATAAATACTTAATTATATCGATGAGGCCGTTATGACGCACATGAAGACACAAAATTCTTTCTAACATTCATTAACCGAGCGATTTCTACATCACGTCTGATTTCAACATATTTGAAAGGGCACCCCAGTGGCAGCTGGCCCTATGGACTGAGTGACAACACCTAGCCTATAATCAGGCATTAATCTGCCAGTAGGGAGCAATGATTGCCATGTTTAATCCCAATTGAGTATGTGTCAGTCAAGAATGTATAGTCAGTCTTTCAGTTAACACAACGTGAAGATTGGTAAATCTGGCAGAAACCAACATGGCACCCATGGCCATGGTAGTCTGCTGCACAGGTAAACGCAAATTCTTCCCTGAAGCCGTGCACAGCAGCATGGCCTCACTCACAAAACACGGCCATAGTTATTTTCAGAGCAAATGGGATTGTGGGACAGTTTTCACATCGGCCATCTGGGAATGAGCAGAGCGCTCAAAGCGCGCTGCACGTGGGAACCCAATCAGACAAACAAGTTCAGAGGGTGGTGGGAGCAAGAAGGGGGTATTTTTACGATTTGATCGTAAGCCCCCGCAGATCGGACCAAGCGTCTCAAGAGGTGCTGCCAGGAGCGTTCGTCCCTCGAGTCGCCTATCCACGGGAAGGGGTGGGGGGGTTGGGGAAACCGAGATCGCCACGCGAGGCTCTGTCGCACGGCTTGGTCACACGGTGCACAGCTGGCAAACAGCAGGGGAGGGGTGAGAGCACGCCCAACTGCTTCACACCGATCACAGCACACAGCGTGACTGGGCTGTCGGGCGGCGGCAGCGCAGTGGGAAAGCTCGTGCCTCGTAAGCAAGAAGTACCTGGGTTCGATTCCTGAATCAGGCTTCCTTTTCTGTGTAGAGTTTGAATGATCTTCCCTGTCCTGTATAGGTTTGTAAACCTAAGCTATAAAAACACACAATGCAACTGGTATTGCCAACACATTCAAATGCTGCAAAAATGATCTGCAAATTACTCAACTGGGATCACACACAGCAGCAACATCGCCCCTCCCCGCCACCTCCCACTGAAAACATCCCAGTGCTAAAGAATTACCCACAAATGACTAATTTGGGATTGCACAGAGCAGCAACATCGCCGCCTCCTGCAAAAACTTGGCAGGATCCTCCTGAAAAAGTCTTGAGACTCGTCGAGGCTCTGCTGGGTAAACAAGCGGATTCATAATAAATTATATTATGAACCCGTAGCAGGGGCCTACCACCATTAGCAGGGGCCTACCACCATTAGCATGCGCCTGCTGCATCATACACGCAATGCCAGGGGTAGCTGGCAGCTTAGAAGATTTACATTTATGATCTTAGAGTTAAGAATTTTTTACATGTAAATAAATATGCTCGTACATTCAAAAGTTTTGCCTACTTGACTTGAATGCTGCAACGGCCCCATCAGCCATCAGGGACGTTATATCACAAATCAAGTATTTGTGCACACATACACATGTACGCACACACAAGGGTTGGTCACAAAACTATGTTTGTACATTCGTTACCTAAAGTGTACAATCAATACTGATAGTTTACATTATACACCAGCATCTAATGGAACTACATCTCCGGACAGTTCACAGGGGAAATAAAACAAATGAACTTTGTGCCCACGAAAAACAACAGGAGCCTAAGCATATGACTTGAACGAGGGCATCAGCAGCAGTCCCAACCGTACCGAGTTCAACAGCATGAGACTTCCACGTAGAAAGAAGCCCGGGTCAGGAATTAAACCCAGGCACTTTCTGGGTTTCTGCCGGTATTGAGGGTTCAAGACGGCGGCTCAAGCAGATGGCAAGCAGCCGTCACAGCGGATGACTCAAGATGTTGGCGTTGGTCAACAATGGCATCCATCAGTGAGCGTCCGTGGCGACGAGAGGAAGTGGAGGAATTTGTGGGGAATATTCGACCAACGCAGCGGGCAGCGGGGCAGTGGGGAGTGTGGGGCAAAGCGTCACAAAGGGTCGGCACCTGGAACAAATCTCCCTTCTCGCTCGCCACCGGGGTCAATGAACTGTTGCGGTGGCCCCCTTTACTGCCAAGCAAGTGAAACACTTCGCACGTGATGGAAGCCAACAAGCAAAGCTGGTCTCTCGGTGCTTCGACTCCCGGATAGGGTGCGGAGCGCTGCTCGTGATACAGGGGACCTTTGCAAGGACCTCTCTGGCCGTGGAAGCATGCGACTGCCCAAGGGATGGCGCATGGCGGAGCTGGGACCCATTCAATAAGATTAAAGCGACATCCACAAGTTGACGCAAAATTAATGCTCATCCAGACCACAGGCTAAAAATAACTTAACATGCGACTGCTTTGTCGTTTCGACCACCAGTTGAGAAAACGTCGCAATCCCACCAAATATGTATGATTAATTATTGCTGTTAGGAAGTGCTAACAGGCACAAACTGGTCTATAGTTGTGTCAGTTTGTTTTCTTCCAATAGCGGATGTTGATGTAAAGGAAAAGCTGTCATTTTACACGGAGTTGGACGAGCCAGATGGTTGTCAGGAGTAGCGGAGTGTTCAATTATCGCTATGATGATTCCTCTTCCTTCGTGTTTGTAAATTGGGCATTGAGTGCAAGTTTATGTTCCATGGTTCTGTTCTGTTTAGTATTATTGCTTCTGGTTGGGGATGGCCACATTTTCTCAACTCTTTGGAATCGGTGACTAAATGTCCACATTCAGTTCTTGAGACGGTGGTCTCGATAAGGCCAAGAGCTTTTGCACGTGCATCGGGTGCACCACCCGTGCATCGCTGCACCACCCATGCCTTGCGTTGTAAAATCAATTTGTTTGCGGTCGGGATGAATGTTCCTGTTGCGATGGGGTTCCTCCTTATCCTCATTGCAGCTCGAGGCTCAGCGGCATCGCCTGCAAAGGCCCGAGTGTCACCATCCCCCGTGGTCAACGGTGCCCGTCGACCTCGGCCCCGGCTGGGTCTTCCAACGGGCCACTGTCCGCGAGGGCGATTTTCCACCCTCTAGATCACATTTCCCAGGCCAAAGCCACGTCGCCATCAAGCCAGGATAAAAATGTAAAGTGAAACTTTGCAAGGCCGGGACATTTGATACCGCAGATCAAATCCAAAGTTCAACCCCATTGATGTTCGTACTCGTTTGAAGCTGGAGGATAGCACGGATATTCTACACTCATGGTGTAGCAGCTTTACTTCCTAAGTTACCATATAGGGCAGATCTACGCAAGCAAATGAGGGTTTCTCGCAACATGCTCTATCATCTAGGTGCAATTGGAGATCATTCAGCCACGACTCTTAATTGTGAATTTCTCACCTTTATCCACATTTCTGATCGTCGTTCTCTGACCACGTGGCCGGAGGTCAACCATGAGGGTGGATGTACGGCTCGGCAGACCCCACCATTTAATGCGAGGGCGTTGGCTTAAAGTGGCGGTCGAGTTCCTGCAGCAGCGCAGTGAAGTGCGTGCGGGGTTACAGCGAGGCACGGTGTCCGCTCTGCAGTGAAGGTCTGAGGCTATCACCCTCAACAGCAGACCATGGGACACTGGGCGATTAAATGTAAGCATCATCCTCCACCACCAATTGATCTGCAAAAGAGGCAATGGACCTCAATGGCGAATCTACAATCTAGCATCTTCAATTAAATTTGATTGTGAGAATGAGCAGAGCCATGCGAGCCTGACGAAGAGCGAAGCCACTCACCTTGTACGGATCGGAAACGCAGACGCTGACAAAAACAATTGGAACAGATATGAGCCGTGTGCAGAGGGAGAAGCGTGGAGGGAGAAGCACAGAGAGAGAAGTGCGGAGAGAGAAATGTGGAGGGAGAATTTGCGGAGAGAGAAGCGTGGAGGGAGAAGCGCCACTTGAAGCAACTCCGGCACAAGATACGAATGCAAATCGGAGATTATTTTGAGCAGCAAGTCAAGTAAATTAGACGTCAACATATTTCCTTTCTCCAAACATTTAGGCTATTTACCCTCGTAATAGCTGTTTTGTATGCTTTCCAACAAAGGTTAATTTGGACTGCACAACCCTCCTGAAATGATATTTAGACTCGAAGAGGCTCTGCTGGGTAAACAAGTGCAGTAA